ATATATATATATAACACTATATATAAAAAATACTATGTTAGATATTTAAGAACTTAAGTATGATTTGAAAATTAAATTTAAATCATAGAAAAATTTGAACCAATTATATTTGCATATATAAAAAAGGAAAATTACATACATACCGCACAAAAAATTCATATTTCTGTATCTATCACTTGAACTTTCATGTATACATTTATAGGACTTTGGTGTGATAAAAATATGCATGAAAGTTGTATTTAGTTTTTAAGAGAAAGTGGTAGTAATATTTTTAATGTGAAATTAAAATTTTGAGTGCTAAATATGTAAATATAAAGTTAAGGTTTTAGATATGTAAATATATAAGAATTGCGTGGTATATTTGTTTTTGTGTGTGTGTGTGTGTGTGAATGCCCATTTTTGTAAGGTCTTTATAGTTTTTGAAAGAAATATTTATATATACCAGGTAGAGATGCCATAAAGAAGTTTGTAGACCGATCTTCTCCCTTTATTCGTATTCTTGCCTCCTATTTATAAAGGGATATTTGTACAATTATAGGAAGAGGATACAGTTATGAAAACTATCCTCAATTGTAGAAAGGAGAAGAGAGAGAGAGAGAGCGATTATAGAAACTGGCCTCAATACAATCAATGATCATTTAAGATTAAACTTGTATTACAATTCAAATTTTGGCTATGGTGGTGACCAACCAGTCGACGTGTTTTGGTTTGGCGGAGTAAAGTGACGGGTTGAGTGGTGGTCGCTTATGCCGAGGTATGAGTGGTCGATCGACTGGATGCTTTCAGTCGGCTATTAGAGAGCTTCGGTGGTTGGGACCATAGGTAGACCCGCCGACTATAATCGTCGAGGGTGGATTTGATCTCTGTCGGTCTTTCAGATGACCGGCATGCCTCTTGAACTAGCGCTTGGTCGTTGAGCCATCTTCTCTGGCCATTTGATTACTTTGAGATTTGCGCCGAAAGGCTAGCTGGAGGTTCATTCTACACCCAAAACACAAAGCCTAAGAATCCTCCATCGAGATGTACAACGGACTCAAGATCATATCAAACCCAAAAAGAATTATATATGTATAAATTACATGTTTTAAATTCTAATGTAAGGCAAGCCTATTCTATCATCAATAATAAGTAAATTAAAGTTTGCATTAGTTTTCATGCCCACTTTAATGACTCCATTAGTAGCGCCAGCTATGGCCAAAAATTTGCAAGTCTGTTTGCTTTCTGAAAAATATGATTCAAATATTAAAGTAGTGAAGTAGCTTTCTTATTTTTGCCAAAGAATCAAATTTTTGCCAATCACACAAATTACTGCCATTGCAGCAACGAAACACAAAAAGTGAATCCATTTCCATAGTCAAATTCCGAAATTTCATTTCCTTTGCAACAAATAAACAGTGAAAAACATAACCATTTTAGAATAAGATGCATTAGCATTTAGCACATTCATAACGAGCAGAAAATGTAAGTAAAACCAGTCTAGTGTGGTCACAGAAGACCCCATCAACACATGGAGTAATAGTACTAACACTACTATCAATATTCACCAAACCAAGAGGAGTGTTGTTCCACCTTACCAACTAAAAATACCTGTAATTATTAACATTTAAGCCCACCACTAGTTTACGAGATTTAGTGTCCACTTTGGAAATAAAAGATTTAGCATTGATTAACATGATCTTTGCATTATTAAAAACCTCATAGTGCTTATTTGGTTTCTTTTCATCCAAAGAAACCAACATGCAATATATGGAATAACATTATACAGATGTACTTTAGTATTACCCTTCATCCAAAACAATAAATATTGTTACAAATCATAATAACTAAAATGCGACATATAAATATCATATGATTTAGTAAGGTGTTTCCATATTTCCAATGAGAAATCACATTTGAAAAAAAGGTGATTTAAAGTTTCCTCATCTTGTCGACAAAAGAAGCAAAAAAAAGCATTACATAGCCCCTTAAGCTTTAAAATAATATCCAAATGTAATAATTGGCAAAGTAAGTGCAACACAAACAAAGATTGTGATGGTTTCATCATAGAATTCCACACATTACCATCCCAATCCATGGCAGAAAAATGATGTAATTTTTTCAGCAATCCAAGCAGTGAAAGAAACCCGAGAATTTTGTTTAATCGTTAACACATCTTCACGGGTTTTATAAATCCCAAATCAACAATATAAAAACAAATCATCACCAAGAAATTTTGAAAGTTCACGAGTATTCCAAATCTCCCCTACACAAAAATTCTCACATGAACATCAGTGGAATGCAAAGCAGTAGAAAAATGCAGCAGATAGCTCGAAATAGTCCAATTATCAAACTCAAGTAATAAAATTTTGAACTTTGTCATATTTTTAAAAGCTCTTTCCAACTTAAAGAGTCTCTTAACTTGGTCATACAAAAAAGAGGGTGAAAATATTTAAGATATTTAAGTTGCATGAATTTAGCTGATAGCCCCAAATTAGACCCGAGTTTGATCCAAAGCTTATAGTAGTTTATTTCCATGGATTGCTCCAAGGATCAGAAACCATTACCCCCATAATTTTTATGCTTAAATAGATGCTCTCAAGATTTTCAATGAGTATCTTTGCTATGCTTAGCCTATAAGAATTTATTAAAGTTTCTATCAATTCTAAGTTGCATGCTCATTGTCATTTTAGTAACTTGAAATATATAAAGAGGGAAAGAAGTTAAAACATGTTGAAGAAGTGTGACTCTCCCACTCATAAATAAGAAAGAGTTTTCACACACACACACACATACATAGATATATAGATACATACATAACATACACACATAGATATATATGTATGTATTTATGTATGCATGTATGTAGGATATATATAATTCTTATGCATTTACATGTCCAATACAAAATTTCATATTTACATGCACATCATTCAAATCTTTAATATCAATATATCACATCTAAAATATTATTATACTTTTTAAAATTTAAATATAACTTTGATAGATATGTCATGAAACTAATGTGTTACATTTATACATATGAAAGTGTAAGTAGTAGAAGTGTAAATTCAAAAAAATTGTGAGGTAGGTTGTAAAAAACTATTTAATAATTTTTTTAATCTTCTCATTCCGGCGACTTTGCTACAGCGGCAACTTGCTGCGAAATATTTCGTTTTCCGGCGGCGAGCTTCTCCGGCACCCCTTTGGCTAGGTCACTCTAGATTCTGCGGTCCTCCGGTGATCTATTCTCTCTCGCAAAAAACTTCGATCCCTCACACTCAACCGCCGGAGATGATCGCTCTGCAACACGATTGCAGGACAAGGTGGGGCTATGAGAATTTAGTGACCCCTTACTTTCTGGATAAAAGAAGAAGGCGGCGACAAGCACTTGCTTAATGGAGGACACGAACCCTCGATAAGTTGCGGTTCGTGGGCTTGAGATAGCCGGGAGACTCCTCAATGTGGCGCTCAGTTAGACATTCTTCTCATATCAGTCTATCTATTCGCTGTTTATCCCGGCGCCAGTGGATCCATGCTGCCGGAAACCTTCCCCGTCGAAGCTCTGATCTCTTGCCAGTACTCACCAAATCTGAACTCGTCGAGCGGATTTACAGAATCGTAACCCTCGAGCGCTTCGAGGCCATTCCCAAGCTTTCTTTTGATTTATCTGAAGACATCCTCGATGCAGTCCTGGTGGGGCTCCGGCTCAATCCCACTGCCTGTCTAGGGTTTTTCAGGATTGTTTCGAAGCAGCCCCATTTCCAGCCGAATGCAAAATCTTATGGTAAAATTGTCCACATTTTAGTGCATGGGCGGATGTTTGATGACGCAAGAGCTTGCTTGAAGGATTTGCTACAGAATTACGCTACTGAATGGTCTGTTTCCTTTGTTTTCAATGAGATGCTTCAGGTTTATAAGGAGTTCAGCTTCTCGTTGAAGACATTTGATGTGCTTCTCAAGGAGTATGCAGAGCATGGATTGGTTATGGAGGCTCTTTTCATCTTTGATAATATGGGAAGCCATGGATGGAAGCCTAGCGCGAGGTCCTGCAATACTATGCTCAGTGGTCTGGTTAAAGCTGGGGAACATAGGACGGCAACTCTGACGTACGAGCAGATGATCCGAGCTGGGATACTACCAGACGCTTTCACTGTTTCTATAATGGTCAATGCTTTCTGCAAGGATGGAAAGATAGAAAGAGCTGCAGAATTCTTAACTTCCATGAAAAATAAGGGTTTTGAGGCGAACCTCGTGGCTTATCATTCTCTGATGGACGGTTACTGCACCCTTGGGCAGACTGAACAGGCCATTGGCGTTCTTAGTTCCATGAAAAGAGAGGGCATTTCACCAAACGTTAAAACTTATACTTTATTGGTAAAAGGGTACTGCAAAGAGGGCAAGGTAGAGGAGGCTGAGAAAGTCCTCAAGCACATGAAATACATTCTGTGCTTCAAAGCCGATGAGGTAGTTTACGGTGTTCTTATTGATACTTATTCACAGTTGGGGAAATTTGAAGATTCTATTAGGATGAAGGATGAAATGTTGAATTCAGGACTAAAGGTGAACACTTTTATCTACAATGCAATGATTTCTGGTTATTGCAAATTTGGAAGGATAAAAGAAGCTGAGCTTTTGGTCAGTGAGATGGAATATGCAGATCCCAAACCAGATTCATATAGTTATAATACTCTATTAGATGGATACTGCACTATTGGTCTGATGGATAAGGCTTTTGAAATTTGTAACTTGATGGAAGCTAAGAGTATATGTCTGACCATTCTAACTTACAATACCCTCCTCAAAGGTTTTTGTCGCAAAAATGCCATCCATGATGCTTTGCAATTATGGTTTTTGATGTTGAAAAGGGGAGTGAAGCCTAATGAGATTAGCTGCAGCACTCTATTGAATGGATTTTTCAAAACTGGGAATTTTGAAAATGCTTTGAAACTTTGGAATGATATGTTGTCCAGGGGATATGCAAAAAATCGAATCACTTTCAACATATTGATTAATGGATTGTGTAAATTTGGTAGAATGGAATATGCTGAGGAGATCATCCGTAAGATGAAAGATTGGGGATGCTTGCCTGATAGCTTTACTTACCGAATTCTAATTGATGGCTTCTGTAAGATGGGCGATATTGAAAAAGCTTTTAAAATAAAGGAATTGATGCAAGAGTTGGGATTTTTACCTTCAATAGAAATGTTTAATTGTCTTATTACCGGGCTTTTCAAATCAAAGAGACATGGCAAAGTGGATGATCTTATAGCTGAAATACATGCAGAAGAATTGGTCCCGAACATTGTGACATATGGAGCTCTAATATGTGGTTGGTGTGATGAAAAAAGGATAAGCAAAGCTTTTGATTGTTACTTCGAAATGACCAGGAAGGGTCTGACACCGAATTTGTTGATTTGTAGCACCCTTGTAAGTTGTTTATACAAACAAGATAAAATCGGCGAGGCCAATGCGTTGTTACAGAAACATGTAGATTTTCACATACCTACAAAATATGATTTTTTCCGGAGGACTTGCAATCTTTCGTTTAACAGAATTTCAGATCTCTTTCATGAAGGTTCAAATAGAAAATTTGAGCCTAATTACATCATGTGCAATGTTGCTATTGCTGGGATTTGCAAGTCAGGTAGGATAGAAGATGCAAAAAGTTTTATCATTTTGTTGTCTAATAGAGGATTCTTCCCTGATAGATATACTTATTCCACCTTAATTCATGGATATTCCTCACGTGGCAATGTAAGCGATGCTTTTTTACTTCGTGATGAGATGCTAAAGAAAGGTCTCCTTCCTTCCATTGTGACGTATAATGCGCTCATTAATGGCTTGTGTAAGTCTGGAAATTTGGTGAGAGCTGTGAGGCTTTTCAATAAGCTTCCTGAGAAGGGTTTCACTCCTAATTCTATTACATTCAACACAATGATTGATGGATATTGCAGGGCTGGCAACCTTACAGAAGCCTTTAAATTCAAACAAAAAATGGTTGAACAAGGAATTTGTCCAAATGTAATTACATATTCAACCCTCATACATGGTCTCTGCAAGGAAGGTGATATGGAGACATCAATCAAGCTTTTGAATCAAATGATTGAGAGTGGCGTCGATCCTAACTTTGTGACATATTGCACGTTAGTTAATGGTTACAGAAGATCGAGGAACATAACTCAGGCTTCCAAGCTTTGCGAGGAGATGCATATTCGTGGTCTTTTTCCAACTTTTGATTGGAAAGGAACTTTGGATTTTGCAGGACCTTTACAGAGCGGAAAAGTTAAAAGTTTTCATAAAGTCTCTGAATGTGCTGCTGCATGTTAATGGCTCTTTATGAATCGTGCTTCTGAAGTTTGAATGGGGTATTCATGCTTGAGGCTGACATCCCGAGCTGTTGTTGTGAAATGGCAAAATCTTTGTGGTTGGGATTGACATTATAAAGTTGTCACTTTGAGCATGCGGGTATTAAATTGCCTGAAAAGTGAAAATAAGGCAGTTTCAGCTTGCTTTAAAGCTGAAGATCTCAATCCAGGCTGACGAATGGATCTTGAGGTATCCAATCATTTCATTTAATTTTGAGGGCATTTACATAGATTGCGTACAATTCTAATGTATTTTCATATTTCACCCCTAAACTTTCATATTTACACAGATAACACTCAAATCCTTAATTAAAATAGTACTATTAGCACTTTTTAAAAGTGAAATACGCCTTTTCATGCATAGGATTAGGACACCAAAGTGCTATGTATGTAAATATGTAAGTTTAAGTGTGAGATATTGATATCGGAGTTAATCCAAACCACAAAAGAAATGCAATATTAATTCTGAATTCAAATAGGTTACAATGATGAATCTTGAGAGTAGGAATTAACAAGACAAACACAATGACACTAGAACATAACCACAAAGGACACAACACGTACCAAGGTTAAGGCGAAGGTGGTGATTGAGTAGCACGGAGGAGGGGGTGGCTGCGGTTAAGTCCATAGAGGAAGGGTGCTCGATTGGGTGGCTTAGGAAGGGGGTGTGGGAGAGAAGAGGAAACTGTAGGTTACGGTATGGAGAAATAGGAAGAGGAGGGTGGGCTGCAAGTTACGACAACGAGAAATAGGAATAACAGGGATGGTTGCAAGTTACGACAGGGAGATACAGGAAGAGGAGAGCTGGGCGGTAGTGCTGGGTGGCTAGAGAACTCGGACGACTGCAGGTGGAGGTTTGGGTGGCGAGCGGTTGAAGACAGGACAGGTGATCAGGGCTAGCCCCTGGAAATAGGGAAGGGGGACTACAAAGGGGAGTTGGGAAGGACAAACATCCCCACTTGGTCAAGCTACATCCAAAACACTACTTTGATCCTCGGATACAACCCTTGGAAGAGAGGAACTCCCGGAGGTAGTAATGTGAAATCAAAGACAGTAAAAAAACAACCCTAAGCAAGCAAGCAACAAATATATAATATATGATAGAATAGGAAGGGGACCATTGCCCTTTGAGCGACAAACAGAATAGGAAAGATAGACCCTCTCCTTTGGGCGGCAAGGCAAGCCTTAATTGGTTGGTTGGCCCCAATCTCTCCGACTGAATTAGCTGGTTCAACTCTTCTACCATAAGTAGGCCTGCAACAGGTAAATCCTGCGTGAATTTTCGAAGATTGAGGGAGCTTCAACTTCATTTGTCAAAGCTTCTGATTCTTCGTCTGCAATCCTAGCTACACTTGAATCCCACTATCGGTTGTACTGCCTCCCAAAGCACTTGAGGATTTTTTTTCCAATTGTGAGCATTCATCCATATCTATCTGCTCTTCTGGTGGTTCACTATTGAACTGAATTGAGTCTGCATGTTTTGCATATACTGTTGAATACTCCCAAATAATCCATAGTCAACTCAACCTAATATGAAGTAAGGTAGTTGGAACCTCCTCGAACTTTGGTGGCCCTAGTGGTGAAGTATCGGCGAGTAGGCATCCTGAAATGCTTTCTATTATGCTTGTCTCGTTTTTAGAGTTGGTATCTCAGTTCTACATCCTACATCGTCACCAAAACTGGTCATACCATGTTGTTCTGTTGGCAAGGGCACTTGTGCTCTCGGGATCCGCTGAAGAGAGAATGACAATATGCTTCCCATCCTTGGTGAATGAGTAGGTGTTTCTGACTCCATCATGCTGAGTTCTATGATCAAACCGTCACGGTCTCTTTAACAATAGGTGGCATACATCTATGGGTATCACGTCTCACCACACATGATTTGCAAATGGCTCCATATCCAAAACTCTACTAGGCACCTTCGTTTATTGTTGCCCTTCTCTTCGTCTTCAGCCACGCCATAAAATATAGTTGGGAGTACCTCTGAGTCATAAGACCCAACTTCTCCATTATTTGTGTAGATATCACATTTTTACTGCTCTCTCCATCGATGATAAGATTGCATACCATTTCGTTCACAGAGTAACAGATGTAGAATATTTTGTGGCGAAGCCACTTTAGATCCCACGTATCCTCCATCTTTAGGACCCGTCGAACGACATACATCTCGTTCTCATCAAGTGAAAGATGATGCACCTCACCTTATTCCTCAGCCGTCTCCTTGTCGCTAACCTTCTCCACGGTGCTCTACTTGCTAAAAGGCACAACTCAACTCGTTGGGCAACTGGAGGCGATGTGCCCAAATCCTGTGGCATCTGAAGCATTTTTTGGCGGGGATTGTAGCAGGTGTGCTACTCTCAGACTTTTTCTCACTGGGAGTGGTTCTATCCTCAAAACTAATTTTCTCAACGTCCAGAGGCGTGCTTCGGTTGGTATCTCCAACTGTGGACGGTTGCCTAACTGGTGGTGGTTGCTTGTTATGTTTATACTGGCTTTCCACTTTTAACGCTAAGGTTTGGACATCTCCAATTGACAAATAGTGCTGCAGTTATACCGCATTGATGATGGCGCGCTTCAGGCCTCTCAGATAACAACTATTGTGTGCTCATATGGGTTGACCAACTCGCATTTCATCTGCAATTGCTCAAACTGGGTCATGAACTCCTCCACTGATAGATCTCGTTGCTGCAGGTGATGAAGCCTTATAAATATATCATGACGGTAGTGGGGTGACAGATATCTGCTGAAATAAAATAAAATAATAATAGGAGGGTCGTGGGAATAAAATAAGCCTTGTTCAGTCAGCTGGACTTTCGAGGTTGCGGGAAGATTCGGTTCCGTGATATAGAATCCCACAATTTGTGGGTCGTGGGAGTTCCGTCCATGGTTCCCGCTCAATGTTAAATCATGAAACATAATAATTTCATTAATGGAAAGTTTGACAACTTGAGTTTCATCATTATTTGAGACTTTATGAATTGCAATGCTTGATAATTAAAACTGAGAAAAGTTCCCTATGGAAGAGATGGTATCTCTGAATTTTTTGTCATATGTGAAATATTTGTATCCAGACATATTCAATTTTCATAGAAAAGGTTATTGAATGTTTTTCTTGATTCAACATTCCTATTATTTCTACTCCAGGAGCACTAAGCCAGGAGATTTAAAAAATGTGAGAAAATAAGAAAAAAAAAAGGGGCATTTACATATTTACCACATAACTCTTTTGTATTTATATATATCTAACATTTAAACATTCATTTGCTGTCATAGCACTCAAATCTTTAATATTGCCTCAAAAATACTATTTTTGTTTACTTTTAAAAAGTGAAGTATGCCTTTTCATGCATAGGTTTATGAAACCAAAGTGTTAATAAATGTAAATATAAAAGAAATGTAAATATAAAAGTTTAGGTGTTAGATATATACATACATACGAATTTTGTGGCATGTATGTTAACTTTTAGGTGTTAGATATATACATACATACGAATTTTGTGGCATGTATGTTAATTTTTCAAAGAATATAGTTCAATGCTAGCATGGTCAGAAGTACCAATTAATTTTCTCAATACTGAGTTCAGATCTCACATAGCTTTTAACTATAATGAACTAGGAAGAAATAATAAATAAGGAAGGGGCATTTACACACATGCAACCCAAGTCCTGTTTATTTACATATCAAACACCTAGACTTTATTTTTTACATTTATACCACCCACCACCCAAAGCTTTCCCATCACATAAAAAGACCACTATTCTGACTTTTAAATGGTGAAAAACAGAGTTTTCATATGTAAAAATTAAAGTATAGGTGTTATACATGTAAATATATAGGAATTGAGTGGTATGTATGTAAATCTTCCACTAAGGAAAATTTTTAATACCGACTTAATCCAAAATGTTGAGTTAAGGCTAGTGGTGATTATGGTTTGACACTTCATGTTTGCTTTTGTTAGTCCAAGGTAATCTGAGACCTGCTTGTTTTATTGTGCCTTTCTACTTATTTTTTCTTGATTTGTTTCTTCGTATTGTCCCCTTGGTCAAATAATTACAAATGTTTGAAGTACACGTAAAAATACACGACCTTTGTAGTTATTTTTTTAATATTGTTTTTATTTAATTCTGGGGCATTTACATACATACCACACAATTCTTATGTATTTACATGCCTAACACCTAAACTATCAGATTTACATGCATAATTTTCAAATCTTTAATATCACATCAAAAATGTCACTTTTACTTCTTAAAAGTGAATACCCCTTTTTCATGCTTAGGTTTATGCCGCCCGAGAGTGTTATATATGTAAATATAAAAGTTTAGATGTTAGATATATACATATACAAGAATTGTATGGTATGTATGTGAATTGCCTTTAATTTTATGGCTGCTTCACCCTGAAGCTGAATTCAGGGGTTCTTAGCATTATTATATTTTATTTGCATGTTCCCTGTTTATTGTTCCACAGTTTAACTTATTTTTTCTAGCTTGATATGGTCTCTTAGCTTATTTCTACTGAACTTCCTTGTGCCTGTTGCGATATCTCTATTGTAGGCAACTGCAGTCTAGGTCTGGTTATTCTCACTTTACTGCGTCAAAATTGTACTTTATGGTCTTACTGACTATCAATTCATTTTTGAAAGATTTACTTAGATACCACTCAAACGCCTAAACTTCAATTTTTACATACATGCCACTTTATCTATGCATGAAAATGTACATTTCACTTTTTTGAAAGTTAACTGGTGTTATTTTTTGTGTGATGTGAAAGATTTGGGTGGTATAAATGTATATGTAAAATTTAGGTGTTAGAGATGTAATACATAGGAACTGAGTGGCATGTATGTCAATGCCTCTTCATTTTCTTATGTGCTTTCATTGAATATTGTGATTGCAGATTATATTTGTGATTACTGATGGAACATATTGCAAGCAAAATGAACGAAAGTTGTCGCTTCGCATTTTCGGACATGAGAGCAGGGGAGATACTTCTGAGATTCTGATTGAAGTCAATTTGGCTGCTCGATTGTGGCTATTTTCATTGAAAATGAATGAATTTGTTGAAGTTAAACCAAACTTGGAGCTACTCAAAGAAAATGAAACTCAGGAGCAAATGCAGAATCCAGAAGTGCTTTGTTAACCCCTTCCCATTTTGAAGATGCTCATGATGTCTACACAACCACAGCAAAACTATCTTCACTTCCTCCATTTTGTACTTTGGGATGCTACTTGCAGACAGTTTATACTCAGTTATCGAAGAAGAAATAGATCATCACACACCGCACAAGTGGCCTCAGGTATTGCAAAACCAAGCTATTATTTCTTTTCTGGGGCACTTACATACACACACCCCTAAATTTTTCATTTTACATTTTATATTTATACAAAACAACTTTGTCATGTCACATAAAAAATATCACTATTTCAACTTTTAAAAAGTGAAATGCACCTTTTCATGCCTAGGTAAGGTGCTATATATGTAAAAATTGGAGTTTAGGTGCTAGATATGTAAGTGAATAAGAATTGAGTGGTACGTATGTAAAGCTTCTTTTTATAGATATGTCTCTTATTATATCCGAAACAAATTGCTACTTAACTGTGTAGGTCAAATGATATCTTTGTCACATACTCCGACGAGCTTAGCTAGACAAAATCTCATTTTATCCGTCAAGAACTTTCCTTGTCGTCGGAAGAACCATTTTCTTACCACTTACCCTGTCAAAGTTGCTTCCTTTTCTCGGCACAGCTAACCAGTATTTTCATCATTTCGTCCATTGGGCTTCCACTTGCAGGTAGGCAATGTGCATCAACTGATTGGATCCTTTTACCTTGGTCTTTCCATTTGTTAAGGAAGAATCATATAATTAGTAATGTTGAGCAGAATGGTTCTCAGGCACTGTAAAACCTACATAGAGCTCTCCATTCCGTTGAAGACTCGTTCTTTAAGCTAAACGGGCCGAACCTACACTCTGTAAGTCATCTATTGTTGTTGTTATATACACCAAGGATCACAAGGCATGATACTGCACAATTTATTAGTTGTTTCATGAACTTGTTTAGATGATTAAATTGAATAGCCAAAATGATATTATTCTAAATTTTAGTAGTATTTTCTTTGCATTTTCTCTCTCTCTCTCTCTCTCTCTCTCTCTCTCTCTCTCTCTCAAGCCGCATCACCTTTATTCTTCTCGCAAGAAAATCAGTGGTAAAGATCCATACTATTATAAAATTTGATAATAATCACCAAAGCAACAAATATCATTGTGTAAAAAGGACAAACAGCAACAACAAAAGTCTTTTCTCACTAAGTGGGTTCGGCTGCATGAATTTTTTGTTCTACTTTGTGTCCTATTGTGTCATATTTTCAATGTAAAAAGGAGAAAGAAAGGAATTATATATATTCATTTTGAAATACTGTTGATTAGGTCTTAACCCCTTTAGACCTAATCAACTGTAACACAACAACTGTCATGTTTCTATCATTCTAAATATTTTATGAAGCTGAGAGATATGCAGTATTCTGATCAGGGCTGGTTAATGAGCTAAACAAACAAGTTTTTTTGCGCTCGATATATAAACGGGCCGAACAAGAACAAATATTTGTTCATTCATGTTCAACCCATTTTGGCTCGAAATAATTAAATTATATATATAATTGAATCACATGCTTTGTTTTATTTAAATTCCGACGAGAAATATAAAAAGAAAGAAATCGCATAATGATTTTTTTTCATCGAATGACTATTCATCTATTATTATTAGGTTCTCAAAAAATAGGGGTTATGAAAAAATATTGGTTCAATTCAAAGTTGTCTAACAAGAAGTTAGAATATAAGTTTGGACTATGGAAATCAATGAATAGTCTTGATGCTCTTGGACACACCAGTAGAAGTGAAGAAACTATTTGAAAATATGCAGATAAAAAGATTCCTAGGTGGGACAGTTATAGTTTTAGTAATATATCTTTATTATATCTTTAACCATTTAAAAGATATAATAATTCTAAAATAGTTAAGTTACTTGGATAATTTTTTTAATAAATACAATTGTGTATCTCCATTCTTTTCCAACTCTTTTAGCTCGAGCTTTCCATTCACTATATCATGCAAAGCCATTTTCTTTTCGATTTTAAACCATCAATAACCTTCACTCCACTGATGATGTGCAATGTTGCACACATTTGCCAATCTCTCTATTCGGCTTCCCATCGATTTTGCGATAGAACTCGCAATCCATCTCCTTCCCCCCTCTTTTTTGAACTCAACCCCACATTTAACATGATTGATTATGGCATTATGCATACCTATAATCTCATTTATTTCAATGATGGACTCTTTTAGCAGACCCAATGACTCAAGTCTACACAGAAGTTTTTCTTCATAGGACTAAAATTAAGCCTCATAACCAAGCAAAAAACATATGGATTTAGTGTACAAATGATTAGATCAAGTGATTTTTATCTCATTGGTTAAAACTCACAAATAATGATGAAATGATTATTTTATCCAAATAATAATACAATATGCATCATAATTATGTTAACTTTAATTGATGTATTTGTTTGATAAGCATAATAAATTCAGAGCTGATGTATTAATGCAATGAAGCACTAAGCCTTTTTTAGCAGGTTCATGGTAAAATATAAAAAGTTGTCCAAGGCTTTGAATAGATTTGACGTTACATTTCAAGCTTCAACAATTTAATTGAATTTGACCCATGCAACGAAATAAATATTAAATTTATTTTAATATAATTTAAGCTGCCAATGTTAGCCTTGCTACATGAATGTAATTTCTGACCTGAATTGAACCAACCAAATAATCAATCCATGAACAAACCGGTCGATACCGGTCGTATCGACCGGTTCAATTTTTTATTATGGTATAAAAAATACCATTGTATTTTTATTTTATTTTCAACTATTTTAGTTTCTTTCTTTAAATACTTTTGAGTTAAATCTGAAAGATTAAAGCCATAAAACATGATCTCATTAAAAATTAGAACCAAACCAAACCAAACCACTTCACAGGATGCCTGAACAAGTAGTTGATGTAGCTAAGTGCCCTCCATTAAACAATCACCAAAATATTTTACAAGTAGAAGCTCATCCCTTACCATGACTCAACTTTGCTTAGGGCTCGTTTGGGGGTAGCTGTGAAGGCGCGGTGTGGCACGAGAACGCATTTCTGTGCCGTTTGAGGCGGCGGCGACAACGCGTTGCGTAGACAATTTTGGCATTTTGATGAAAAAGCGAGCTGTGGGATCGACCCTGCGGTCCGCGTTCGTTCGCGTAAGTATTACCCGACAACTCTCTTTCTCTCTCTCAGCGTCTCACCTTCCCCCACAACTCCGAATCCATCCCGATGACGACCCAATGGAGTCGAGCTCCTCCACCGTCGTCAAAGGGGCAGCGACTGACGAGGAATTTGCTTGCAAATCCATCGCCAACAACCGGCTCATCTCCGACGAAGATGTTTGAAGCTTTAAGATGGAGATCGAGGTCATCGCGTGGCTTTCCGACCACCTTCATGTGGTGGACCACAAGGCTGTGTACTAAGAAGAGGATTATGTGCATTTGGTTATGGAGTTATGTGCATTACACCGTCTTGAGAAGCATGGCCGGTTCATAGAGCGGGAGGTGGCGGTCCTACTCTGGGATCTGATGGAGGTAGCGATTTACTAACATGATAGTAGAATTGTTCATCAGGATTTGAAGTCGAAGAACATTCTTTTGATTACCAAGTCGTCGTCTTCTCCTATCAAGCTTGCAAATTTTAGCCTTGCTACTTATATCAAGTCTGGTATTTTAAGAAATTTTTGAGTTGATTGCTGTTTTTTAGCTGTTATCCATCATTTTAATTTTAAATTATGTGTATTACTTGAGTTATTTGGTTTGCTTGCATGAGATGCAAATGCTAGTTTTATATTTCTGCGTGTGATTGAAGGGTAAAAAGATGATGATACACTAATGACTATCATTTTAGATGGTATGATTGAAGGATTTAAATGTATAGGCTTAATTATCTTGAATTTATATGTTTATATTTGGTTGTATATAACAATTTAATCTCTAAAACACAAAATATCACTTTCATTAATGCTCATTAACCATCTTTATAATTTAGGGGTTGTCTGGTAATATATTAGAGTATTATTTAATCTTGTTAGACAAAAAAAAATTTGGTAAATATTTGCTTCTAAAATTTAAAAAATGTGGCTTTCTTTAAACAGGGTAGCATAATCATTTTCCCAAAAACAGTCGCTCCACAACTATTTTCACACAGTTGCACAAAACATACAACCAGCTTCCCTGCAACAACTTTCTGGTACAGTGCAGCTGCAGCTGAAAAGCTGAGAAACTTCAGCTGCCCCAAACAGAGCCTTAACATGTAAATTGTTCAATAATTTTAAGGGGAAGCTACAAACATACCAACTCAATTCCTATCGATTTATATATCTAACACCTAAACTTTTTCTTTTTTACATTTATATCACCCAAATCTTTTATCACATAAAAAAACAAGCATTTTAACTTTTTAGAAGTAAAATACACTTTTTCATGCACAGATAAGGCGACATATAAGTAAACATTGAAGTTTTAGGGTTAGATATATAAATATATAAGAATTGAGTGGTATGTATGTAAAGCTTTCTATATTTAAATAAGCTCATGGATTCCAGATTCAAGATTGATAAAAGAAACTGAAACTGTTACAAGAATGAGCTTTTGCTTTCAGCCGTTCATTTAAAAAGATCACAAAAAAGAAAAAGGATGATTATATAAAAAGAAATAGAGAAAGAAAAGAGGTCTAACTAAGAGGAAATGAAAACCATAACCCAAAGCATGGTTTCGTAAAACGTCAATTGCCTTGCTTAGGCTCATCTGTTCCATGAAATTTTCTCCCAGCTTCAACAGCTTCCCTGTTTAGTCCAAGCAGAGGTCAAGAGCAAGAAGAGAAAAACATGTGAGAAAATTAATTTTAGGGGGAAATAGACGCTACACACATTATATATATATATATATATATATAATATATATATATACACATACACATGTACAATATAACAATTTTTAACATTTACTTGTATAACAATTTTTAATATCACATCAAAAAGACTACAAAATACATTTTTTTAGTGAAATATATCTTTTTATAATTATATTTTGATGTGATTATGACATAAAAATGTTTATATATATGTGTGTGTGTGCGTGCGCGCGCACGTGCCCGCGCGCCACGTCTCGACTCATTGGTGTGGCCTCTGGCGATAAGTCCCTCGGGTCGGGGGTTTGAATCCCGTGGCGCGGGCTTTTCAGATCAATTAAAGCACATCTAGGTTTCGAACTAAATGGGGGGAGCGTTATTTGGTGCCCACTGGACCAAATAATGATTCCCTTTTAAGAAAAAAATAAAATAAAATAAAATAAAAAATAAATAAATAAACCATGGTATATATGGGAGAGAGAGAATGAAGAACACAGAACTATAAATATTAACAAATATGAAAAGATTAGTGAAAATTAGTGACCAACAGAGGGGAAGAAAAAATAACTTTGTGAAACTCAACTTTATGCTATTATAAAGCTGCGGAAGTCGCAAATAAAAGAGATTGAAGAATGGTAAAGATCATTAAATTGATAAAGAAAGATTAGTTGGTATCTATTTCTAAATTTTTCCTTGGCTTCTAAAGAAAATCATAGTTTGTAGGCAAATTGTAATTACTTTAAAGTGAAGCAAAAACTGATTTTTTTTTTTTTAATTCATGTTGTTAAATAATTTGTTTTCTGACGTTTAAGCACTCGGAACAAATTTTCATTTGTGGCATTGGGAGAAACCCTAATTTTCACTTGGCAATCATATAAAATTTATCATAAAGATGCAAGCCAAATTAGATAGATGGTTGAGAGTTTAGTGTCACGGACAAATAGTCCCACATCGGTTAGGTGTAGGGCCGAAAAACAATATTTAAGTGCTGGGCTGCCCACCACCCATAAGGGTTCTTTTGGGAGGTGATAAGTGATATCAGAGCAGATTACTGCCTGCCAGGTGTGTGGACTCTCCATGGTCCAGTGGGACCCTCGGTGGAGCCGATCCGTGACGAGGGCGTCACGTGATTGGGTGGAGGAGAATGTCACGGACAAATAGTCCCACATCGGCTAGGTGTAGGGCCGAAAAGCAGTATTTAAGTCTTGGGCTGCCCACCACCCATAAGGGCTCTTTTGGGAGGTGACATTAGGCTTTCAATTAAGAAGTTATGGGTTCAAGAAGTTGCATATATGATGTGCATATATTTGCTCTTAAATTCTCAGAAGTAATTAGGGACATCTACATACAAATCACACAATTCCTGCTTAGGTAAGATGGTATACATGCAAACATTGAAGTTTAGGTGTTAGAAATGTAAATACATAGGAGAGTGGTGAGTTTGTAAATCTGCCAAAAAAATTATCATAGAGATTGAAAACACAACTGAAATCATTACCTGAAAGCGTCAACAAGCTCTTTGTTTTCAGGATCAAGCTGCACACCCTCGTAGAATGCATTTGCAGCTTCGTCGAATCTCTAAAATCAATCAACATTGTGAATAGTGGTAAAGAAAAAAGAGGGGAAAAAATTGAAGGTAAAATATATATAGCATTACTTGTAATAAACGAAGGGCTGCTCCTTCTCTGTAGCATGCTTTAGGCCAGTTGGGTTTTAGAGATCTACATACCTTTGCATCAGCTAAAGCATGCTCAGCTTGTCCCAGCCGAATCCAACAAAGGCTTCTATTAGATAGCAAATTTGCTTCATTGGGATCCAAATCAATTGCCTGTAAATTTAATCAAAATAATAATAATAATAATAATAATAATAATAATAAAAGAGAAGAAAGAAAGAAAAAAAAATTCAGCATCATCTTCTAAGTATGACAATTACATATCAGATCTTCTGGAGTCGATAAAACAATTTAAGGAATTCAAAAGCTGAATAAATTTCAATGGATTCAGATTTTTCATATTTTTTAACCAGAAGTTTTTGATAAAGGCATAAATGATAGATGCATAAACAAATATAATTGATTCTAAATGATCAGAAAAGAACCGTAACATAAGCAAGCATTACAAAAAAGCAGCAAACATAATTTCCGAACATATTGTGCATTCTAAGAGCTCACTCAGGCAAGTGTCACAAGAATGTCAAAATGGTATAATGGCAGGATATTTTGATGGAACAAGACTATTTCTTTAGTGAAAGGGAAATTTTGGCCTATGATGACACGAGATGTAGAGAAGCATGTTAAACAACGTGAGGGTGTCATTTTAGATAACTCAATGACAGAACACGTCTCTAAACTCCACTTCCTGTCCCAAATTCACCTTCGGTAGATACGAGCAAGGTCTTCATCATGGATTTCACGAACCCAATGGAATAAGGTTACTCTTATGGTGGCGGTGGATTGTTTCTCCAAAATGGCACATTATGTGCCCTCTTAAGATAATGGATGATTCACACATTACCAAAGGAATGAGGTTACTCTTATGGTGGCAGTGCATTGTTTCTCCAAAATGGCACATTATGTGCTCTACTCAAGATAATGGATGATTCACACATTGCCGCAACAGAACGTTTATCATGGACAAACTTGGCCCGATCATCATTCGTATAAACCGCAACAAAACGTGAGTTGTGGCGAGTGAACAACAAACCTAAGCTCGATCTGTCTTTTAAGTAGTGGAGGATCCGATGGACAACGGCGAGATGGTGCTCGAAGAGCTTATGCATAAAGTGATCAACGTTACCTACGACGTGACAAAAATCCGAGCGAGTATGGGCGAGGTAAATGAGATTAGGCTATCCATGACATATTTGCGCTAGGAAAGACAAATACCTAGAAGATTAGGCTATCCATGACTAAGAAATACCGAAGGGAACTCAAGTTTTTCATCTCAAAAGACACGGCGAGAATGCCTTTTCTAGACTCCAAGACTGGCAGATCATTACCTATCAGTACAATGTCGTCAACATAGACGATGAGGATGGCAATACGACCACTGGTTGAATGGCGAAAAAATAGCGTATGATCAAATTGGGCTTAAGAGAACCCATGACCCACTACTACCTGCATAAACTTGTAGAACCAGTCTCGTGGGGATTGTTTCAATCCATAGAGGGACTATCGCAATTAGCACACATGTTTATGGGAAGAAGTCGGGTCAAATCTCGCTGGGAAAGACACAAACCTACTCAGTGAGATTGCCATTAAAGAAAACATTATTGACGTCCATCTGAAGTAAGGGCCAATCCAGATTCACGACTAATGATAATGTAACTCGAATAATATTTAGCTTGGCAACTAGGGCAAATGTCTCTCTACAGTCAATCCCATAAGTTTGTGAATATCATTTGGGGACCAACCGTGCCTTGTTGCGCTCAAAGGACCCTCGGAGTTAAACTAGGTGCTAAAGATCCACCGACAACCCACCGCTTTCTATTTCCGGGGAAGATCGACTACATCCAAAGTATGGTTACACCGAAGAGCATTCATATCGTCCATAACAACATCCTTCCAGTACGGGTCAGCCAAAGCAACTTCTATACTGGATGGGAGACGATGATCCTTCAGTGAAGTATAAAATGCTTTGTAGGTTGGAAATAGGTTGTGGAATGAGACATATTTCGCCATGGCAAAAAGAGTGCATGGTTGTATCTGTTTGCGTACCTCAATAAGGGGATTCACATCTTCACTCGAATAGAAGTGACCCCCGTAAGTGGAGAATGCATCATTTTGGGGTTGTTGGTTAGAACGAATTCCAAGACCTGTAGCAGAGCAACATGCTTGACGATAGGGACATTGGGAAGAGTTTCAACAGAGGGTTTTGTACGATGAGTATAGACACGGATAGAGGATGGTCGTGATATTGGCCTGGCTGGTGGCGAATCCATTGATGCGGAAGGAGCACTGGAAATAGTGGTAGTAGGAAGAGTGTTCAACAAAGACAGAAGAGAAGCTGTGTCCAAAAACTCACGCTCCCCCTCACTTGAGGTAGTGTTAGGGAAGAGGAGAACATTTTCAAAAAAGGTGACGCCGACACTAACATAGATTTCACTGGTGATAGAATTGATAGCCTTTTTGAGTGGCAGAATAGCCAAGGAAGACAAATTTAATTAAGCGGGGGATCATGTTTATTATGAGTCGGGGTTGCGTTTCGAACAAAGATCGTGCACCCAAATAGTTTGGAATCTAAGGTGGAAAATGACTGGTTGGTGAGGAAATATGACATCAAGACGGATATTGGGGTTCGAAAGTTGTAGATTTCTATGAGAGCACTATTGATGAGGTTGTTGGTCGTGAAGATAACATCATTCCAAAAATGTTTAGGACATTGGTTTGAAACATATGGAACAAGCAACTTCAAGAAGTTTATTTTTCCATTTAGCTATCCTGTTTTGTTGAGGGGTACCATCCATGAGCTATAATGGATGATGTCTTTACTCACCAAGGATTCTCCCAATAAAGATTTAAAGTATTTACGACCATTGTCAATCCAAAGGACTTGAATAGTTGTTTTGAGTTGGGTTAGTATGGAGTGCAAATTTTTAAAAGTGACTGTAACTTCAGATTTATCTTTTTCAATATAGACCCAAGACATCCGGGTGTGGTCATCAATTAGAGTTAGGAGCCACCTTCTATTGGTTTTGCTCGCAGTTCGAGAGGGTCCCCAAAAATAACTCTGAATAAGCGAACAAAGAGTAGGAGTGGAAGGACGAGGTGGATATGACACACGTTGATGTTTAGCTAATTGACAAATTACACATTTAAAAAAAAATAATGTTTATCAATAAACATCAAAGGGTACAATTATTTTAAATAATAGAAAACAAGGATGGCCCAAAAGAAAATGTAAAAGCATAAATGAACATGCAGTAGAAGGAGAAAAATTACAACTAAAAGATTGAGTGTCAGTGTCATCTATGTCATTTTCTTGAAAAAAATAGAGTTCGACTACCCGCTTAGCTTAGCAGTTCCAATCATCTTTCCTAAAAGGCAATCCTAAAAGACACAAACATCAAGGGAAAAAAAAGCAATGCAATGAAGATTACATGTTAACTTACTGAACGACAAGATGTTACACTTAAGTAAAGAAACATGTAACACGAATTCCAAAGTCAGCCCGGTTGCAGGTACAATCTAATAGAGTTATAGGAACTGTCGTCAATTTTAATCGTATCACCCGAAACAAAGAGAAAACATCGAGAAGAAATGAGAACCCCGACTAAGTGGTCAATAATCTACGGGTAGAAGAAGCAAAACCAATGAGTGTCATAAAGATGCTACCTTGGTAGACATGAGGTTGATAGGTCGGAGGAGAGTCGACAAGACCCAAGCAGCTTAATCAAGTGTTTCATCTGACTCTTGATAGAGTCTGGTGATTTGGGGATCATCTGAGTAGGGGCTGGCTCAACTGTTGTAGATTTTGAGGTCGTAGCGAGACCTTTAGTAGCAGATGATTTGGCTGAAGACTTATTTGCCGGTTTCACATGGAGCTTCCAACACTTTTCACTAGTATGGTAAGGTTGTGACAAGAAAACACATGTAGAGTGATTGGCTCACGACAACGTAATGGAGTGTTGAGTACTGTTCGAGACCAAGGCTGAAGGCTTGACTGAATTAGTAGAATTGCCCAGCATGCAAGTCTCCAGCTTTCTTCACAGCGGATCTCAACGAATACGGCCCGGGTTGAAGAAAGAGGATCACAACCAAGTATACAACCACAAACTTCATCGAGAACCTTGTTTAGGCTCGCCGGAAATTGGAACACACGATCATTTTCTAGAATTTTTTGAAAGAGGGAAAGATAGGTGGGAGAGTCCCGAGTGTAGTAATAGTAAATGTTACATTCCATCCATACGGCAACCAAGAACTGGGTCATCGTCTTCGATCCGTGATTCGCCTAGAGATCTTATTAGAAAGTCATAGAGTTGTCTAAAGTTACCTAAGTCTGAGTAGGTATAGCGAACGACAGTTCAGAGGGCACTTGCAGATGGAAGAAACAGGTAAGAACGACTAATAGAGGTCTCCATGGAATTAATCAGCCATGACATAACCATGGATTTCTCCACTTCCCATAAAACAAATGCTGAGTCATTCTTCGGAGGTTCACGAATCATATCTGTGAGATGGTTTAATTTACCCTGACTTTTGATGAACAATGACATTTGATGAACAATGACACAGCTTGAAACCACTAGAGAAAATTAGAGTCCTTGAGCTTGTGAGTGGCAATCAAGAAATTAGAGTGTTCATATCCTTTGGTCTGTAGAGGGATTGAGGTAGGTGTCGATCCTCCGGTGGACTCTAAGACAACGTTGGATGGAAGTTCAGTGGTGGAGAAATCCACCATGGCTCCGACGAAGCCAAAGGTAAGGTTTGGATGCCGAGACATAGAAGAAGACGATCCCTCACTTGGCTATCAACAAAAGAGGGCCTGTAGAGGAGGATTCCAGCCGACAAGATAGAGATTCAAGCAGTTTAGCAGGCAATCTGGCTACAGGAAGGAGCTCCAATCGGCAAAAGGAAAGTTCTGAGGCAGGAAGGCTTGCAAGGGAGAGATCCAGCTGCAGGAAGTAGTCTAGCGGTCATGGAAGAAGGTCTAGCCGACAGAAGGGAGGTCCGGTGGAAAGAAGGCCCACAAGAAAGAAAACCACGGCGAGGAGCCCGCAAGGAAGGGAACCGGTTGTCTGAAACTTGCAGGGGAAGGACTGCAGGAGAAGTGTCGTGACTAGGGCAAGATTTTGTGGCTCTGATGCCATTTAGGTTTTGAGAATTCAGCGGAATAATTTATTAATATGAAAAAGGAGTATAAATACATCTTACATTAGTCCTCAAATAGGAATGATATAAAAAAAGAAATAGTTGGAAAGAAAAGACAACATCTAGATTATGATCAATCAATTCTTAATAATTACTCGATATAAAAAGAAAATGAGATAAAATAGGAAAGAAAATAAATCCAATCCTTATAACTGCTAATATTTATAATGATAGATGGGAAAGAAGGAAAAAGAAGGGAGGCGAGGTGGATCTTGGGTGGTAAGTCCCACACAAAGGAAAGGAGTAGGCCTGCCCAGCCTCCTGCTGGATCGAGACTTCTGTTGAATCTGAACCCTTGGTCATTAAATTAGCAAATAGTGGTATATAGCAATGTTTAATGTTCATAAGAAATCATGGGATGACAAAGAAGGCAATAATATAGTTCATATTCATCTTGAATGCTTTTGTAATATAACACATAAAATTCTATGCTCGAGCCTAAAGCCCCTTCCAAAAACCTAATGCATACATATTGATTTGCTTTTGCTAACATGAGTATTTTGTCTACTTTTAATATTGAGGATCTGATACTATATAACAACACTTTTTAGCCTCCAAAGTTTCCAATATAAATATCTTTGAATAGAGTTTTTGTATCATTATCAAACTTTTCTTAGCATTGGCTCCAATTTTGTCCCAAGTTCTCGTCTCAGGACTATAAGTTGAATAGATTTTGTTTAATGAGATTACACTATGATTAATAAGATATTTTCTTTGCTTTATTTAGTGAATTTTCAGTGTTGTTTTATTTATAATTGGCACTAGTAATTATTTTCCTTTTTTTCTTTATTTTATTTGCTTATAAGACCCTTAAGTATAAAATGTGGAGTAAGAATTTTGAAGTTGCTTTAAAAAATGGTATCTCTCTCTCACTCATTGTCATGTCTCTTTCTCATATCTCCCCTTCATAATATCAATTTTTGTTTTTTGCACATAATCCATTCTTCCCTAACATTTTTACCCTTCAACTGGCTCAGATCAACAAATCAGACCAGTTGAATTGTTATTTTTTCCTTCTTCGTTTGACGCCTATTTTCAATCATTCAAATGAATCCATAGAATTGTTCTGGTTCTCAACCATAGAATGAATTTAACATGTGAAATCCCACAAATGTTAATCCTCAATAAATTGTAATTTGCATGAAAATAAGGCATATATAAAATGTCAAGCAATTGGTCCTTCCAACAATAAAGCGCAGTCTCTCCATGGCTTCACAAACATACACTACCTAAGCACCTCATCAATCTATATGAAGTAGCCGCATTGAGCACAGTATAACCAAGCAAAGCCCAAAAAATAATGCAACAATAATTGATGAAGGCACCATGCATCAATTTTGGTCAAAATTTCATTATGCTTACAATGAAGACCAATTGCCATCAAGACAAATTACCTGCCAAAGGAGTAATGACATAAATTACTAGTATGCGATTATTAGCATTTTCTGACCAACTAGATACTTCCACATAAGGCTGGAAATGAACTAAGCATTCGGCAAGTTATTCATTGTTCGGCTCAACTAAAACACATTCATAATCATATGATTAATTAATTGAACGAGCTTAAACACTTTCATAGATACTCAAAAACTAAATGAACAAGCATGAACAACTTTTTGTTTGGTTCATTTATGTTCATGAATAATATTAATTAAAACTTGTGAACAAGCTTGATTATGGCTCGATTACAGCTCACTCATGAACAATATCATTTAAATATTTATTTTTAGGCTCAAAAAGTACAATTTAATATAACTCATTTATCTCTTCCAACAAATTGCTCATATAAAACTCAAATAAGAACTGATTAGGGCTTGATTAAGGCTCAATTAGTACTCATTTATTTTTTTTTAAACAAACTACTCATTAATATACTCGAAAAGACACTATACGAACTGAGACCGAACAGGATAACTCTAAATGAGTTTGATCTCGAACAAAATCCTAAAAGATCGAATCAAGCTCGAACATGCACTTGCTCAGTTCGACTTGGTTCATTTGCAGCCCTACTTCCGCAGACAATGCCATTCGTAATGTACCCAACAACTGAGCATATGTGATTTTCCCTATTTTTGCATAACCTGAACTGGCATATATAAAGAATAGCCCCAAAATTTACCATCCAATGAAAGGTCTGTACAAGGAGTTATTTACTTTCTCGTACTTAACGCATTATCGTCAAGCAACTTAATTGATTTCATAGAAAATCGCTATTACTATGATCTAGCATAAGCAAAACAAGCTGCTGGAATCATTACCTGAGTATAAGCATCTATGGCCTCTAAATATGCTTTTCTTCTAAAGGCATCATCACCCCTTGATTTAGCTTCCAAAGCTTTCTGCTTTGCTTCAGGTGCTGCCTGCACAACTAACTAAATATAAATGAAAGAAAACAATGTAATATGTAAAGATTTCTATAAAATTATGTAGGAAAATATAAGATTAATTTGTTCATAAAATGTCAAAGTTAGAAGAACAAGTTTTGTGTGAGTAACAGATCAATTGAAACAAAGGCACAAATCAAATTGTTAAAAATGGACAATGCAGATGACGGTTAAATTGAAGTCTGTTAAGCAGGAAAGTGTTCCTACCGGTAAAAGTATTCATAAAGAAAGATTTTAAAAGGAGAGGCGGTAACCTCAACAATCTCTGAATTTGCGGAAGTGGGACCTTTTGGATCGTCATTTTTCTTCGTAATTTCCTACAAAATAAATAATATTTCCATAAATAAAAGTACTCAAATCCTTTATGACATAAATCCTTTAAACCATTTTATCAATGTCCGGGCGTCCCCTAAAAGTGACGTGTTGTTTAGTATGAATACAGTGACAAGTGTGCAAGGGCCACTGCACCGGCTGAAAATATGACACTCAATAAGACAAAATGGAGAAAAAGGATTTATGTAGCCGACCCCGCTTAGTTGGATAAAGACTTGTTGTTGTTGTTGTTGTTTGTTAAAGGTACTCGCATCCATCAATTCAGTAACATAAACTTAGGATAAAACTTTAGTTAGACATAGTATTCTAATTTAATACAAAATTCATACATGTGTGAATACATTTACAAAGAGAAATAGTAACTCATACCAAAAAAAATAATGAAAATTAAAACTAACGAACATACCTGTTCCTTGTTTGCCTGAGACTCCATGAAGTTAATGATGCCATCCACACTCCAGTTTGAAAAGTTAGGAACTGGAGTTGTCACAGGAAAAAGAATCTGAACAGCTACACGATTGCCTCTTGCAGCAGCAACTTGTATAGGTTTTAAATTATCCTGCGACCAAACAAACATTGAGATGGTTCTTTTTTGATTTAGACAGACCTACAACCTGGCACTATAATAAATAAACAAACAATCTTGGTATCTCAACTCTCATAAATCACTCCAAGCGCAAGTACTAGTCCTGGTTACAACAAAAAGAAACCTTTATCCCACTAAGTGTGTTCGGCTACATGAATCATTTTTCTCCATTGTGTCCTATTGAGTGTCATATTTTAATTTAATTCTAACATATTAAGATCCTTTTATGCAGCATGCCCAAGTTTTTTAGGTCTACCTCTACCTTTCCTAACAAAAGCCGAATCTAAAGCGTCTACTCTCCTAACGGAATCATCAGGTGGTCGACATTTAATGTGCCCAAACCATCCAAGAAGATTCTCTAATCCTGTCTGCCACTGGAGCTATACACCAACCCTTTCATGGATACATTCGATACACATTTTTTCTCTAAGCGTCAAGCCACTCATCCACCTAAGTATTCTCATCTCAGCAAACCTTAACTTGGTTTTATGCTTCTCTTTTAAAGGCCAACATTCTGCGCCATAAAGCATTGCAGGACTCACCACCATCTTATAAATTTTTTTTTTTAAGTATAAGAGGTACTTTTCTATCACATAATAGGCCCAATGCATTCCTCCACTTCAACCATCCAACTTGAATTCTACTAATAACATCTCCATCTAGATCACCACCGCATTGAACAATAGACCCGAGATATCTAAAACGTTCACACATTTTAATGATTTTATCCCCCATTAACACAACTTTGTAACTAGCTCTACTAATAAAATTACATTCCAAGTATTCAGCTTCAGATCTACTCAATCGGAGTCCTTTAGACTCTAATGTAGATCTCCATAATCCAAGTTTTACATGAACTTTTTATCTAGTCTTATCCATAAGGAGGATATCATCAGCGAAAAGAATATGCTAAGGTACATCCTCTTGTAAATGTCCAATAAGACCATCCAAAACTTAAGCAAAAAGATGTAACCCAACTGAAATAGGAAAATACTTAGTCAATCCTCCTTCTGTTCGAGCACAAGTTATAACTCTAGCATACATATCTTTAATTACTTGAATATAAGCCATATCAACACCTTTCTCTTCTAAAACTGTCCAAAGAACTTCTCGTGGAGCCTTATCATAAGTTTTTTCCTAAATTAATAAAAATCATATGTAGATCCTCCTTACTCTCTCTGTACTTCTCCATCAAACCTCTCAATACATATATAGCTTCCATAGTAGATTTGTCCGGTATAAATCTAAACTAATTATGAGAAATCTTTATATCACGTCTTACCCTATGTTCAATTACTTTCTCCCATATTTTAATGTATGCCACATCAACTTAATTCCTATATAATTTGCACTGTTGTGCATCCCCTATATTCTTAAAAATGAGGACCAGAATACTCTTTCTCCACTTGTAATGGTTGAGTCACCAAATGTCCAATCAACTGATATATATGATAAGAATTTCATAGATCATCCTTGCCTTAACTGTTCTATCTTTGAGCAAACTAAAGTGGGTTCAAAGGCCCATAAAGTCAAAATTTTCTATCATACAACTAGCTATAACACTAGTTATCATTTCTCCAACAATTATGGAAGAATTTATCTCTGAAATGTTAGGAAGTTAATCATTTGAATCAGTAAGTTACCAAATGTTAATATTAAGATTGTTAATTACTCATCTAAAAAATAGGTAATTTTTAAATGTTTGAGTTTATAAATATAGCTCAAGCACATTGCTTATCTTCAAACATCAAACTGCTGTGACACAGTTGGATATATCTAGTAGAGTCGGTATCCTGACAAAAATTTCGAAGGTCACATTGATGTTATATATAGCAATTATCTAGATATTTCACTCAATTGTAAGGACTTTATGATTTGATTTGAGATTTCTTATTTACCCCGCTTGTTATTATTTTAGATTAAAACTAGTTTGTAAGCCCTAAAATGCTTTACTTTTATTGGCAACAATTTGGATTTGAGAAAAGATATGTCGCTACTAACTTAAAAGAAAAGCTGAATGATGAAAAATTCGATCAAAATCCCATAGCATTGTCGTTGTCACGAACTTTATATAACTATAAATTGAGATAGTTATCCCAACATGACTGAACGTTACATGTCAAAAACTATGGGTTATATTGTCCCAGCAAACATTGTAAAACAGGTAGAAAACTTGTAAAAAATGACAAGAATAATACAATTGTGGATAACAACAGCTTCATGTATTATTAAGTGTATCTTATGACTAAAATCATACACTTAACCAGTAGAGAACAACATATAATAGTTTTTTCCACAATCAGGTTAATTGTCTGATCAAGGGTTTCATGCCACACACTTATTAGGGTAAGATTTTTGGTGTGATTATATGAATATGCAGGATATGATATTAGTTTTTTGTGACTATCAATCAAACTTAATTCATCCTTAAAAAATTAGTGCAAATAATGGTTGAAAGGTTGTTATATTATTGCTTGAAATTTTCATTTATATATATTTTTTTATTTTCTTTTATATTTTCGTAAGAGGAGATATATCTAAATGGAGTTCTTTTCTACCATTCCATTGAAATTTAAGAGGCATTATTGTGTCAGTATCTTCTACTACTATGATTGGCATAGACCGTACCCATCATCAGGTAAAAGACTAGAAATGTTTATTTTTAGGATTGGGAGCTTTATAGATATCGGTAAGCTATGACATCCAATAACATATCCCATAATAGGGAGGGGAGAGTATGTGTGCCTTGGAGTGCATATCATTATTAGAGTAAAGATATATTTCACGACATCCGGTAATCCTGAAATTGGCACACAAATCAACGCAGAGGCACACTCATTTTTATTTTTATGCGGTGATTATTGTGCGATTAACATTTTTAACTTCGCTATTTATTCATAGATAATTGGGTTGTAGCCGACCTGGTATCATTAATGCAAGACAATTATGTGTAGGCTTCCAATTCCTATGATGGGCAGAATTACGACACATCATAACCAAAGTGTTTCCTAATAATGTGTAGGTCACAAATCACCGTGTCAAATACAAAAAAAGTATCCATAAAATAAGTTTCTTTTTGTTAATGGCGACGATGAACATCTATGTGAATCTTTAAAACTCAAAATGCGAACCCTCGAAAGACAAACTCATAAGCCAATACAAAAAATTTGATAACCAGAAATGAAAAATATAAAGCCCTTCAAGCTAGACAAGTTGACTTAAAAAGTAAAAGAATGGCAAGTTAATCAATTGAGAGATAGATGGGATAAACTTGACCAAATTTTAAGACTATTAACAATCATCCTCGCCAACAAGCCAAAAGGCGGCCATCCAGGAAGGCCCACCACTCAACAAGCCTAATCGTCGGTGTTCCAAAGCTTTTCTAATTCAATAAGCCACAATATGCAAAATAAAGAAGGCATTCTATTGATTCAAGAAGAAAATGATTAGACTGAAAAATATCCACCAATTAAGATCCAAACTTCAATCCTTTGACACATCGATGATGCATTTGAATTTCAAAAAAGTACAAAGCAGATTTGACAACCAAAAAATAGGAGGGAAAAAAAAAGGGCATTGTCGGCACTAAAAAGTAAGAAAGGAAGAGATTGTTTGGGGGGTCGCCCGTAAGAAGCTGTTGGCAGCCGGAATCGAAATCCCGTCGCCCGCTTCGGAAGGACTTTTTAATTTATGTATATATATATATAATTTTAGAAAAATATGAAATCAAACTGACCTCATATTTTTCACAGTTTAAATGAAAGAGCGCTCTACCTCAAATCCTATATCTATCCTGAGGGATAAACACAAGACTTGAGGATGAGACTCGATCAAATAAACTAAGAAAGATATGACATCCGTTTGGTCTGCGAAACCGTTTTATTTACCGACAAGTTCCCCTATTTAATACAAATAATTAAATAGGGTTTATTTTAAGCTGGGTTCGGAAAAGCTTCCTATAAGGGCAAGCCCCTATAGTTAATTACATCTTAAATGACCAAAGTCA